ATTGTCCACACAGGACAGAAACCATTTGCTTGTGATCTTTGTGGACACAAGTTTGGACAGAAGTCAGATTTAAACAGACACATGATTGTCCACACAGGACAGAAAACATTTGCTTGTGATCTTTGTGGACAAAGGTTTGGACAGAAGTCAGATTTAAACAAACACATGATAGTCCACACAAGACAGAAACCATTTGCTTGTGATCTTTGTGGACAAAGGTTTGGTCAGAAGTCAAGTTTAAATCGACACATGATAGTCCACACAGGACAGAAAGCATTTGCTTGTGATCTTTGTGAACAAAGGTTTGGACAGAAGTCACATTTAAACAGACACATGATAGTCCACACAGGACAGAAACCATTTGCTTGTGATCTTTGTGAACAAAGGTTTGGACATAAGTCACATTTAAACACACACATGATAGTCCACACAGGACATAAAGCATTTGTTTGTGATCTTTGTGGACAAAGGTTTGGACAGAAGTCAGATTTAAACAAACACATGATAGTCCACACAGGACAGAAACCATTTGCTTGTGATCTTTGTGGACAAAAGTTTAGACAGAAATCACATTTAAACAAACACATGATAGTCCACACAGGACAGAAAGCATTTGTTTGTGATCTTTGTGGACAAAAGTTTAGTCAGAAGTCCACTTTAAATAGACACATGATAGTCCATACAGGACGGAAACCATTTGCTTGTGATCTTTGTGGACAAATGTTTGGACAGATGTCAGATTTAAACAAACACATGATCCACACCAGAGGAAAGCAGTTTAGCTGTGAATAATAATCCTTGTTTTGTCTTTTTTAATCACATATATCATAAAATAACACATTCCTTTAAGTAATGTTTTTTTTTTGGTTCCTTTATCAAACTTTCAATTTTTGTATTTGTCTAATAGGTCTTTTTTTTTTTTGTATGAGCGCTTCTGTAAAAGTCTAGTTCAACTTACCCCAGAAGAGGTACACACGTCTTTCACAGCTAGAGTAGCCGGAGTCCCGCCTCCATGGTGGGCGACAGGTGCAAATGAGCTGCAAAGAGCTAAACGCACAGCAAACAGTTAAAATGTGCTGCAACCACATGAATGATGTGATGATGTTTTGAACTCAAAAAAAAAAAAAAAAATCTTCAATCACAGACAATAGATGAAGAAACACACACTCAAAAAAACGAATACAAAGGAAAAATGCTGCAAATACCAAAAACACCAAAACAACTTCAAGTAAGAAATGCTACAAACTCCAAAAAAACTGAAGTGCACCAGACCACTAGGGGGACTTGACCACCAAGTCACAAGGGACCAGACCTCTGTTAATACATTTTAACTGAGCGGCCACTTTCTAAAGTCATAATTCATTCAACCTTTATTTATCCATCCGTCCATCCATCCATTCTCTTCCGCTTATCCTGGGTCGGATCGCGGGGGTAGCAGCCTAAGTAGGGAGACCCAGACTTCCCTCTCCCCAGGCATTTGGGCCAGCTCCTCCAAGGGAATCACAAGGCGTTCCCAGGCCAGCCGAGAAACATAGTCCCTCCAGCGTGTCCTGGGTCTTCCTCTGGGTCTCCTCCCGGTGGGACATGCCCAGAACACCTCACCAGGGAGGCGTCCAGGAGGCACCCTAACCAGATGTCCGAGCCACTTCAACTGGCTCCTCTCAATAGACTTTTTCACGCTTCCGCGTTTTAAAGCGGATGTGGTGTTCAACAATTTCCGGTACCTATAGCGTTAGCATAAGACAGTGAGGAAAATGGCTCAGTCTCGGTGCGGTTGCTTTTGTTGAGTTCCTGGCTGTTCTTGTGGGGCAAGAAAACAACCATATCTGAGCTACCATATATGAGCTGTTCCTTCTATCTTCACCTGGAATGATTTCACCGCACCAGCTAAGAGAGAGTCTGCTTTTAGAGAGCTCAGAAACGGCAGCTTGTCCTCTCACAGAAAGCTAGCCAGGCTGAAGCTGCTACTGGAGTCCACGTAAAACTCACTTCACTGTGGTGGCACATCCACCCACAGGTAAACATCAAATTAAGATGGTACATTATAAACTTGTCATGTAAGTCATGGAGAGATCAAGTTGCACAGACTCACAAAATGTTTGATCTTCACAGAAATAACTAATAATAATGTCAACAAATTCAATAATTTAAACAGTCTTGCTAACCGTATTTTATGCTATATTTTATTTTGTGGTTTTACAGGTGCACTCCCAGCTGTCCTCATTCTGCTCAGTCCTGCATTGGTGGACTCTCACAGCCTGCTTGAGTCACCATACCTGAGAAAAGATTAGCTGACTGAGCTAAAGGCTGGGGCCATTTTCAACTATTTTTATATGTGAATATGAGGCCCATGTTTGTTTGTTTGTTTTGAAATTCTTAAATATTATTCATATTTATTTTTGTTTACTTAATTTCATATTTATGTTCCAGGTTGAAGGTGGCAGTACAGTCTTATGTGGGTTCCGTTTCACTCGTTTCTTGTACATCACAGCTTGTGGGTGAATTTCTCCTCTTGTGTTACCGTGAACCATCCTTTTTGTATAAAAAAGTTTAATCTGGTCCTCTGGACATTCAAAAAAACAAAACAAAGTAAAACAACAGAAAGTGTAGAAATGTTTCATCTTTCATCCGAAAGATTTCCTCAGTCTGAGGTGCTGTATTCAGCTCAGTCTTATAAACAGCACCTACTCAGAGTGGATCAACCAGTTTTGCTGCTGACGACCAAAACCAGCTGCTCACATGGTCAAGAAGGACCATCAGCCTAACAATGGATCATTAGCACACTGATGGCTGTTTACTATTCACAGAGGGTTGAGTGATACTAGCAATCACAGCATTGTAAGAGGGGGACAGTTGAACACGGAGGCCTCCACCCCTGTTTAATGATGGACGATTTATTTTCATAAAGATGGCCTCCTTTACTCCTCTCTCAAACCATCGTTCCTCTCTATCCAGGATGTGAACATCTTCATCCCTGAAAGAGTGACCGCTGGCCTGGAGATGAGTGTAGACCGCAGAATCCTGGCCTGATGATGTTGATCTTCTGTAATGTGCCATCCTTTTGGCCAGTGGCTGTTTAGTTTCCCCGATGTAAGACTGATCACAGCCCTCCTGACACTGAACAGCATACACAACATTACTCTGTTTGTGCCGGGGGACTGGATCTTTGTCTGATGTCTGATCTTTGACTGGGTCCACGTCGTGTTCAAAACGGCTGAGGCGTCGCCCTTCGTATAAAAGATTTATTTGACGCAACATGGGGTACAGATATTCAGAGACAAACAATTACATTAATAAGATATATGCATATAAATGGAGCATTAAGAACGAACCGTCGCCGTGTGCGCCTCCCGGAAATGCTCGGTGGGCGTGTGTCATTTCCGGCCTTTTATCCCCGTTTGAGAAGGCTAGCTTCCTGATTGGTTCAGCTTCTGTCGCTATGGTTACGACTCAGCCCGCCCCCTCAAGGACGTTAACGTGTATATTTCAGATAAGTTTTGGTACACCGAAATCGGCTTTTGTTTAAAGTTTAACTTGCTATTATACTTTAGGTATACAAAATGATTTGTGTCTAAATTGTTTATATGTAATAATTAATAACTATTAATTATTACCTACCTCATGGGTGTTAATTCTGTGGCTGCCATCGGCGGCAGTTATGCATTTTGGGTTAATTTTATGG